GAGGTAATGGTGGTCACCAAAACGGCCGGGGTGACGGGAAAACTGGAACTACTGCAGCGCAACATGGTAGGGGCAACGGGCAGACAGGTGATATGGCCCATTGTTATGCTTTCCCTGGGAGGTCCGAAGCGGAGACATCTGATGCTGTTATCACAGGTAATCTTTTGGTTTGTGATTGCATGGCTTCTGTATTATTTGATCCTGGCTCTACATTTTCATATGTATCTTCCTCATTTGCTACTGGTCTTAATTTACATTGTGAATTGCTTGACATTTCTATTCGTGTTTCTACTCCGGTGGGTGAGTCTGTGATAGTTGAAAAGGTGTATAGCTCTTGTCTTGTGACTTTTATGGGGAGCAATACTCGTGTAGACTTGATTATATTAGAAATGGTTGATTTCGATGTAATTCTGGGTATGACTTGGCTTTCTCCAAACTTTGCAATCTTAGATTGTAATGCCAAAACTGTGACATTGGCCAAGCCTGGGACAGATCCGTTAGTGTGGGAGGGTGACTACACTCCCACTCCAGTTTGTATCATCTCCTTTCTTCGTGCTAAGAGAATGGTTAGTAAAAGGTGTTTAGCTTTCTTGGCACACCTCAGGGATGATACTACCCAAGTACCTTCGATTGAGTCTGTTTCGATAGTCCGTGAGTTTCTGGATGTGTTTCATGCAGACCTTCCAGGTATGCCACCGGATAGAGATATTGATTTCTGTATTGATCTGGAGTCGGGTACTCGCCCCATTTCGATTTGAGATCTGGTTATCATCAATTGAAAATACGGGCAACGGATGTGCCAAAGACTGCTTTTCGGACCAGGTACGGGCATTATGAGTTCTTAGTAATGTCTTTTGGGCTTACGAATACCCCTGCTGCTTTCATGAGCTTGATGAACGGGATTTTTAAGCCATATCTGGATCTCTTTGTCATTGTATTCATTGATGATATACTGGTATACTCAAAGAGCAGGAAAGAACATGAGGAGCACTTGAGAATCGTATTGGAAATGTTGAGGGAGAAAAAAGTTTTACGCCAAATTCTCCAAGTGTGAGTTTTGGCTAGATTCAGTGTCCTTCTTGGGGAATGTGGTTTCTATGGAGCGAGTGATGGTGGATCCTTCTAAGATCGAAGCAGTGAAGAGTTGGGTAAGACCTACTAATGTTACAGAAGTAAGGAGTTTTGTTGGTTTAGCTAGCTACTACCGTCGATTTGTCAAAGGATTTTCCTCTGTTGCTTCCCAATTGACAAATTTGACTAAGCAGAGTGTTCCATTTGTATGGTCGGACGAGTGTGAAGAAAGCTTTCAGAAACTCAAAACCTTGTTGACTACTGCACCAATTCTTACCTTGCCAGTGGAAGGTAAGAATTTCATTGTTTATTGTGATGCATCCTATTCTGGTTTGGGTGCAGTGCTAATGCAAGAGAAGAATGTAATTGCTTATGCTTCGAGGCAATTAAAGGTACATGAGCGTAACTATCCGACCCACGATTTGGAGTTGGCTGCGGTAGTGTTTGCATTAAAACAATGGAGACATTATCTATATGGGGTTAAGTGTGAAGTCTATATGGATCATCGTAGTTTACAGTATGTCTTTACTCAGAAAGATTTGAATTTAAGACAAAGGAGGTGGATGGAACTACTGAAAGACTATGACATCACTATCTTGTATCATTCGGGAAAAGCTAATGTTGTGGCGGATGCTTTAAGTAGAAAGGCAGGGAGGAGCATGGGAAGTCTAGCTCACTTGCAGGTTTCTAGACGTCCATTGGCTAGAGAGGTTCAGACTCTGGCTAATGACTTTATGAGGCTGGAAGTACTAGAGAAGGGAGGATTTTTGGCCTGTGTGGAGGCAAGATCTTCCTTTCTTGACAAGATTAAGGGAAAGCAGTTTAATGATGAGAAGCTGATTCGGATACGAGATAAGGTATTGCGTGGAGAGGCTAAAGAAGCAAAAATCGACGAGGAAGGCATTTTGAGAATTAAGGGAAGGGTATGTGTGCCCCGCATAGATGATTTGATTCACACTATTCTTACATAGGCTCATAGTTCAAGGTATTCTATACATCCTGGTGCAACCAAGATGTACCATAACTTAAAGCAACATTTTTGGTGGAGTAGGATGAAGCGTGATTGTTGATTTTGTTGCTCAATGCCCGAATTGTCAGCAGGTAAAGTATGAACACCAGAGACCTGGAGGGACACTTCAGAGAATGCCCATTCCTGAATGGAAGTGGGAGAGAATTGCAATGGACTTCGTGGTTGGTCTTCCAAAGACATTGGGTAAGTTTGATTCTATTTTGGTAATTGTTGACAGATTAACTAAGTCTGCTCATTTCATTCCGATCAAGGTGACTTACAATGCAGAGAAGTTAGCCAGGCTCTATATCTCAGAAGTCGTTCGGTTGCATGGAGTTCCGCTTTCCATCATATCAGATAGAGGTACACAATTTACTTCTAAGTTTTGGAGAACATTGCATGCCGAGTTAGGTACTAGGTTGGATCTTAGTACTACATTTCACCCTCAGACCGATGGTCAGCCTTAGCGAACAATTCAGGTTTTGGAGGATATGCTTCGTGCATATGTGATAGAGTTTGGTGGTCATTGGGATAACTTCTTACCCTTAGCAGAGTTCTCATACAACAATAGCTATCACTCAAGTATTGATATGGCCCCATTTGAGGCACTGTATGGGAGAAGATGTAGGTCTCCCATTGGGTGGTTTGATGCATTTGAGGTTAGACCTTGGGGTACTGACCTTCTGAGGGAATCGTTAGATAAAGTGAAATGCATTCAGGAAAAGCTTCTAGCAGCTCAAAGTAGGCAGAAAGAATATGCAGATCGAAAGGTTAGAGACTTGGAGTTTATGGAGGGTGAGCAAGTCTTGCTGAAGGTTTCGCCCATGAAAGGGGTGATGCAGTTTGGTAAGAGAGGTAAGCTTAGTCCGAGGTATATTGGTCCATTTGAAGCTCTGAAGCGCGTGGGGGAGGTAGCTTATGAATTAGCCTTGCCCCCAAGACTGTCAGAGTGCACCCGGTATTTCATGTGTCTATGTTGAAAAGATACCATGGGGATGGAAACTACATCATTCGTTGGGATTCAGTTCTTCTTGATGAGAATTTGTCTTATGAGGAGGAGCCTGTTGCTATTTTAGATAGAGAAGTTCGCAATTTGAGGTCAAGGGAGATTGCATCCATCAAGGTTCAGTGGAAGAATCAGCCAGTTGAAGAGTCCACCTAGGAGAAGGAGGCTGATATGCAAGAAAAATATCCACATCTCTTTACAGACTCAGGTATTCTTTCTCGCCCTTGTTTTTCTTCCTGTGATCGTTCGGGGACGAACGATGGGTAAATTGGTATCTATTGTAACGACCTGTTTAGTCGATTCAAGAAGTAAAGTTTAGTTTTGGAAATAACTGGCTATGTCGACGAACTACACGACGGACCGTCGTGGTCACGAAGGATCGTCGAGGGTCTCCGTCCCAAAACACTTAAACTCTGAAAAATTTGAGTACTGAGATCGACTCTCTGAAATTCGCGACGGAATGGCAGGACGGACCGTCGTTGGCACGACGAACCGTCACAAATCTTTCCACAGAATTAACTCTCTGAACTTTGTGACGGACCTGCAGGACGGACCGTCACAGTCATGACGGACCGTCACAGGCTCCGTAAGTCCACTCGGGTTGGAATTCTGCTAAAGTTGTTAAAGGGGTGTTTTGGACTATTCATGATTATAATTATAAAGTTAGTGGGTTAATGCTAATAAATTATTTATTTGGGGATTAAAGGAGACAACTTAAACCTAAATAATGGGCTACTTTCATCATAATGAGTTATATGATAATTAGGGTAAAAGAGAAAGAAATTGGAGAGGAAAAAAAAGACCAGAGGGACGAACGAGCGAGAGCTAGAGAGAACGCAGAGGAAAGCAAAGGTTTTGGTGGATAGCTTGCTTGATCACCATTCTTCGATGGAGGTAGGTTATGGTTTATGCTATTCCGTAGTAAACTCTAAATAGCGATTGATATGTATTGGGTAATTTTGTAAAATCTTCTATATGCTTGATTGTGTGTCTGCATGATGTGATTATGTAATTGTGATGGATTAGAATGTGGAGGTTATTGAATTTTTAAGCCTAACATCTCTCTAGTAAGATGACGACTGGGCATAAAGAAGGATTAATGAACTAATAGAATGAGATTAGTGGATCGGAGTGTCACGTTCCGACACCAGGATAGTAGGGGATCGGAGTGTCACGTTCCGACACCAGGATAGTAGGTGATCGAGTGTCACATTCCGACACATAGTAGTAGAGGATCGGAGTGTCACGTTCTGAAACAAGAAGAACAAAGAGAATGAATCTTGAATTATGCTAATATACTCAGGTTTGAAGAATCTAATTCCTAAGTGAGTATGGTGTGGAGGCTTGAGTCCTCATAGATGTGCTTGGGTTGTGGCCAATGGTTATGGTACCTGTTGTTGTCACCTGTTAAGTGTTATGGTTGATTTTATGTTATTATCTGATATATATTGCTTTCTATTTTGAGTTGGCCGATGATACCTACTCAGTACCTGTGCCTTGTACTGACCCCTACTTGTATGTTTCTTTCTTTGTTATTTATGGAATGCAGCAAACGTGCCATCAACTTTGACTTGTCCGCAACTCTAGCCAGTCTTCATCACACCAGAATTCAGGGTGAGCTATTGTTCCTAGCTTGGGCTGGATCTTCTTCTTCACGTCTTGATGCCTTGAAGTTCTGGCATGGACTAGCTGTTTATTTATTTTAGCTTCTTAGATACTCTTAAATTTAGTAATTTGAGGATAGATGTTCTTGTGGTGATGACTTCCAGTTTCTGGGGATAGCATGATTGAATTTTAGAAGTTATTTATTGGTTATATTAATGAGTTTTAAGTCTTCCGCATTGTATTTTGTTCATTATGGTTCAATTATTGGTAAATGATTTGGGGTTTAGATTGGTTGGTTCGCTCACATAGGAGGATAAATGTGGGTGCCACTCGCGGCTCGTTTTGGGTTGTGACATCAGGTCAAACGTAGTTTCAACTCTTGAGGATTACAAAAAATAGAAAAAATTAACTAAGGAAATGGCTGAGACCGACATAGGCTGCCTACGTATCTAATTCTTGAGAATTCAGGTCAGACGTAGTTCATTAGAGATAATAGATGCTTACAAATTAAAATCCAAACAAATGATTACAAAGGAAGCAAAACAATAAAAGGAAATTACTGGGAATTGAAACAAACAAACAAGAAATGCAAGACTTAAAGATGTCAAAAGTGCAATTTTTAGAATAACTTACTTCTTCTTTGCAACTGGTTGTGCCAACAACTACTCCTTATGCTTGGGCAACGGATTGGTGTTCACATTCGGTGGAGCTTGAGCGAGTTTTACCAATTCATTGTCAATAAGATCTTGAATTTTGTGTTTGAGAGTGATACACCTCTCAGTATCATGTCGACTGAAGTATTGACATTCTTGGCTTCCACTGGAAGAAGTATTTTTGGCTCTTTCAACCTCTGAAAAATTTGAGTATGTGTCTAACACAATTGAGTGAAGACTCTTGGAGGGTTTTTCTCAAAATTAGGATGAGGTGCATTGTTTCAAGGATTTTGCATTGGTCGTGGAGAATGAAATGTCGTTTGATTGTTGCAAACATAGTATTGTGAATTGGGATAGCCTGGAGGTGGTTGAAGGTTACATGAGGTAGCTCCTCGAGTCGTCAACATCATAACTTCTTTCTCTTTTTTCTTTCCATAGGAACCACTTGGATAAGCTCTATTAGTAAACTGAGATGAGGTGTAACTCATTATTCCGCCAGTTTTGAGACCCTCTTCAATCATTTCTCCAGCTTTGTTAACTTCAGCAAATGTCTTTCCACCCATTGTCACCATTCGTTCATAGTATTTTGAATCTTGAGCTTGAATAAAATAGGTGACCATTTCTGATTCCTCCATAGGTGGGTGCACCCTAGCAGCTTCTTCTCTCCAACGAATGGCATATTGTCGAAAGCATTCAGTCGACTTTGGTTTTAGCTTGGTAATAGAGATCCTATCAGGAGCAATTTTACCATGAAACTTGTAGTGATCCACAAAATCATTCGCTAGATCATCAAGAGTGCGCCATTTAATCACATTTTTCTTAGAGTACCACTCCAATGTTTTTCCAGTCAGACTTTGATTGAACAACTTGATTATTATCCCTTCGTCGTTTCCAACGCCAATCAACTTTTCATAGTATATTTTCAAGTGAAAGAATAGATTTCTTGATCCACTACACTTTTCAAACTTCGGAATCTTGTAACCGAGTGACAACTCAACCTCAGGAAATGTGCACAATTCTTCGTATCTAACACTATAGCTACTATAGATACCATGAAGACCTCTCATAGCATCATACAAGCTTTTCATCTTCTTATTCATCATTTCAGCATCGATTAATTTTTTGTCCCCCTCAATTTCAATATAGTGATTAACATCCGGGCGGTGAAACTCTGGAGTCTTGGTAACAGGTAGAGAAGTGACATAAGTGTACACTGGCATAGTGTGATGTGTTACTGTTAGAGCTTTTGGAGGAGCAAATGTGTACATAAGAGGAGTATCCTAACTTAAACTAGTGAGTGAGGTGCTTTGAGTTTGCTGAAAGGTGGAAAAATGATCTCCTTGATGAAACTCACTCGATGTCGGATACACAGGTGGCATGGGCCCCTTTTCACGAGCATCAGGTGGTTGATTCGGAGAAGCAACTTGGTATTGATCTAACAGGAGATTCAGTGTGCTAATTTGTTGCTCTAGACGAGCAATGACTTCCATAGGTGATTATGTTGCTACCGAGGCAATAGGATTGGCCGCGATAGATGAAGTGGGGATCATTTCGGACGAAGCAACCGTGTGAATAGTGGGATCCATTTTTGAACGAGTCTTTTTGGTAGTCCAAGTAAGAAACGAAGATTCTGTGGAGATTCTCTTGACCTTAGCGAGTACTTTGATCAAGTGAGCAAGTTTAATTACCAACACAAATCAGTCTTCTTCTAAAACAACTCAAAAATAAGAAAGTTAGTCCATTAATCATAACAATCAACCAAAGCAATATATAATAAAAATAACATGTGTTTTGTTTTAAATAAAATTGTCTAAAGTTCAAAGAAGGTGAGTTTCTAGAAAATGATCAAATGGAAAAAATTGTTTATTGTGAACTAAAATTTTAACGAAAGAAAAGAATTTGACTAAAGAGAATTATATGATTTGAGTAAAGATTCAAAGTGTGGATTTTGGAAGGTTCAATTGAAAATCTCCTTTGGAGAAACAAAAATGTCTCGATATTCGCTTGAAACTGAAGGAATGTTTAGTAACACCGAATAGTAGGTGTGGAAATAATTTTCAAGAAACAAAGAGGCCAACGTGAATTTAAATGATGACCTAATAATTTTTTAAAGATCTATTGAACCTAAAACCGTTAGAGATATTGAACGTATTTTGGTAATGGAGTTATAGTATTTTGGAAGGTTTGAAAATTGGATTGATGTTCAAAAACATTGGATTGGAATAATGGACACTTTATGCTTAAAGCAAAACATATGTGTATAAACACATAGGTCAAACAAGCACAAATGAAACAAAATCTGTAACATTTAACACACAAACAATATATAATGCTTCTTAACATACATGTGACCTTTTAAGCCAAAGGTAAGTCTAACGTTTGAAGAATGTGTATATCATTTGTAAATCGTTCCATTGCCCCAAAAATATTTATATAAAATTTATGAATAATATAAAAAGGAATACACAATAGAGGAAAAGGAAATAAATATCAATCCCACGTAGGGGTACAATGGTAAACTAAGCTAAACTTCCATATAAATCTTCATTCCTGAACTTCTTGATGCTTTTGAATTTCTTCTTGATGAAGAGGATCTTCACTTGACTTAAACAAAGAAACTAGCTACAAAGATTAAAAAAAAACCAACCCCAAAGGACAATGTCACTTACAAATTGACATACATATCCTTCAAATTTAACAAATAATTTAACAAATAATTGAATGATCATCTTATATTGAACGGGGTTAATTAGACTCAAGGTGATCTTCTAATGGATCCAATACACCTTGGGTATTGGATTATCTTAGGTTAATGCACCTAAAAAGGGTTTTGGCATAGCTCTAACTTAGTTAACTGAGAGTTGACTTTATTTACAGTTGATAGGTGACCCAAGCGGACTCCTAGGCTGGGACAATTAATGACTATTGACTATCCAGTAGCTAACTACATTCGTGAGGGTGCCCCGAGAAAAGTTTGGTTAGCGAATGATTGCGAACCCGTATAATCATCCCTTAAGTAAAAAAAAATATAATATCGTTTGACGGAATAAATGTTATGCATGCAATGACAATAACATTCGAAATTTAAACACATAATTACATAAAGCAACATTTAATACTACAAATAATGGTTAGCCAAACAGTAATATCTTTTGATTAAAACCTAGATGAATTCCCAGCAAAGTCGTCATTCTGTTACGACCCAATTTCGAAAACTGAAAGGTTTCAAAGCCGATTCACAACTTTGACAATTTGTTAAAGGTTTTGGAAAAAATAAGTAATTTGGAAAGTCACCACTTATTTTTTTGGAAAAAAATAAGAAAGCCATTTAAAAGGAATTTTTTTGAAAGAAACCACTTTAAATAAAATCAGAGTTTTGGGTAAGGGTTCAACTAATTCTCTAAGTAAGGGTTTATGCATGTTAGAGAATCCGCTAGCATGCGGTTGACCGCGGATTTTAATGTTTGGCTAATATTTAAGAAAAAATTTAAGGTCACTTGATAGAATTATTTTATGAAAATAAATACAGATCAACTAACTTAACAAGTAAGAAGATATTTAAGGTGTTAAACCGATGAAAATATTTTTTTGACTTAATAATTTATTTGAGTTATTGATTTTGAACCAAGTGGCTAATTCAAATTTATAAAACATGGATTAAAAGATTTCTAATAACTATGAAAGAACATACATAGTTCTTAAGTTATTCCATAAGCTTAAGTAGCCTAAAAATAAATTGTGTCAACAAATCCAACTCCTTGAAAAGGAATTTGATAAAGGAAAAAAATTAAATAATGTTAAACTCCTACGAGGATTTATCCAAGACAATAAAACTTTAGAAAAATGTTAGCAATCACAACAACAAAAATAATAAAAAGGAAGTAACATAAAAAGGGTATCGAAAACTGAAAATTTCAGCCCCATTCCAACCATTTTAGGGGGCTGAAATTGTTGTATTTTGCAGCTCAGATCTTAGGCCGCTTGACCCAAAATGCTTTCTGTTCCTTCAGTGGTATTTTTAGACCTTTAAAGACCAAAAAAGAAGTCATTTTAACCCTCTGAAACTGCTGCAATTCAGCCTTATTTCAGCTGTTCAAATTTCAACAATTTGGACGGAAAAAACTTTCATTTTCAGCTATTTTGAGCTGATGTTGCTGCTTGTTTTTGCCACTGATCTGTTCGTTTTACCTGGGTTTCAATCGAATGACATTAACTTCCCTTTCACTAGGTGTAAAGGAGAGTCGACTCGGAGAGGAAAATGCAAAAGGAAGAGTCCGATTGGACTCAAACAAGAGAGTTCATGCAAATTCAAAGACGAGGAAAAAAGGATTAGTAAGATGATTTTAATAAGCATGTTTGAACAAGAAACCTTAATTTATATATTCAACCTCATTACTGAAAATTAAACAAGAAGGAGATCACTCAACCACACAAATGTTTTCTTTAACCAAAACTCAACTCTAAATATAAGAGATTAGCAACAATGATTAACTTCAAACCATATTAATCAGTATTTGTTCAACAACCAAGATTTTAAAGAAGTAAACTAAAAAAATCAGTCCATATTTCTATAATATTCAATTTCCAACAAGACAGACATACTAAAGAAAAATTTTTGGCAAAACAAGAGAGACTTAAGCACTCCAGCAATACAAGAGATGAGCAATTAATGAATTAACAAGTTCAACTTTGTTTTATAATACAGAACACTTAGATGCGGAGGAGTACACAACTTGTATTCTTAATTGTATGCATTTAAAGAGGGCAATGAGAGAGCAGGAAACCATCAGAAACAGAAGAAGACACTTAATTTCTAATCCTAACATATTTCTTTCACATTCAAACCAAGGAACAATACGATCATAAATTTCAATCACATATTTAAGCGAATAGAAGATCAGAATATAGATGGGGAATGACACAACTTAGACAATTCACTATGAATCTTGAATTTTACAATCAGCAAATAGAGAAATAAAAGATTGAGTAAAAATGTTAGTTAACAAAAGAGACCTCAGGCAAGGTAAATATGCTCCTGGAAACAATAGTGATCATATTCATATTTCTTAACTACTGCCAGCAACAGAGCAACAAACTTTACTGCTATTTACATAAACATCACACTAAACACATTTAATTAAAAAAACATAATTGACAATACTAAAACAAACAACAATTCCACAATGCATCAGAAAGAAAAGAATAAAGAAAGAGCAAAAAGATTACCTGGTTCTGGCCAGCAAACCCGAAGACGAGTTTGGCGGAGACGATTCCACCTCTCTCAACTAGAGCAACCACAAAAACGTTTAAAAATATTAAATTACGGAACCAAGAATTCCCAAAACTTTATGGGTAATCTTTGGTCTCCGAAAATTCTCCTTTAAAACAGTGAATGAAGTGAATTTATATAGAAACCCAAAAATTCCAAAAATCTGAGAAGATATGATGTGGGATTTTTGAAAATTTTCAAAATCCCTTAACAAATAGGGATTTCCCATTGGTTGATGTACGAATTGGAATGGTGAGGTGTTGATTTTGAGCGAAGGAGGATCGAGGCACCAGATTTTGACATCTCACCCTCTCCAAAGGTCTTCGTACGAAAAGAGATGGGAGGATGCATCGCGTAACTGCTGAAATTTTTGGGTTTCCTCTGAGTTTCAGTCGCGAGAGAGGACAAAGATCGCGCGGGTCGGGTGGGTTGATTTTTGGTATTGCTGTACGCTGTGGGTATTTGGAATTTTATGTTTTGGAATGGATTATTTGACAAGTTGGGCTGCTGAGAATGGGTTTGGATTGACAAGATGACCCAAATTTGGTCTTAAAAGAATTGGAACTCAAGTTAATAGATGATTATATTTCAAATAAAAAAATATAGCTAATTAAGGTTAAAACTTAGCCAAATTGAAATTAGTTGGCAAATTCGGTTAAATTCTATATAAGATAAATTTATAGAAATTAACTAATGAGCTTGTTAATCTTGACAAAGTGAAATAATTAATTAAATTATAAAATAAACAATTTAATTGCATACTAGTTAACTCGAAATTATAAGTATAGCTTAGACTAAAGTAAATTAAAAAAACACTTAACTAAAAATAAAATATTTTTGGGATTGTTTTCGAATATTTATAACATTACATAAATATATCTATCATTTAAAAATTATATAAATAACAAAAAAAATATTTAAAATGACTTGAAAAATACTTAAATTTAACAAACTCATTATTCCAGATAGCTTAAAAATTATGAAGCTCGAAAGTTAATTTCTATCATGGAGGGTCAAAATTGGGTGTCAACATTCAATGATAGCCACTTTTCATGGATTGCAGCAGCAACCACATCAAAGCAAGCTTGAGGAATTATGTAGAAGGACTTTCAAGGTTATTCAAAGGTCATTGTTGTGAGATTTCAATCACTTCAGCAAGACTTTAAAATCTTGATGATGAAAATGGAGAATTAATTGCTTATTTCTTGTCCATAGCAGTGGCAATTGTCATCAAAATTCGATCTTCTGGCAAGAAAATTATTGATCAAAAGATAATGGAAAAGATACTTTGAAGCTTGACTTCCTAATTTGATCATGTAGTTGCTTCTATAAAAGAGTCTAAGCATCTATCAAAATTTTCCTTTGATAATTTGATGGGATCTCTTCAAGGCCATGAGGTGAGATTCAATCGGTCTATTGAAAATAATTAAGATATAGCATTATAGGTGAAGGAAGCAACAACTAAATATTGTGAGAACAATGGTTCAACTAGAAAAGGTCAAGGAAGAGGAGGATTCCGTAGTGGTCGATGTCGTGGCTATGGAATTGTCTGAGGAAGGAATGATGGGCATTGGCCATCCATGAGAAAAGTAACACAAAGAATTGCATTCAATGTCATCATTATCAGTGCTACAGGCATATAAAGGCTAAATGTTGGTATAAATATTAGAAAATAGACTTTGTAGCGACAAAAAAATGAGGAAAAGAATTATCTCTTTATAGCTTGCATTGATACAGATCACAAGCGAATTAATGTATGGTTTGTAGATAGTGGTTGTTCAAATAATATGACACGCACCAAATCTTTGTTCCAGGTACTAGATGAGAAGTAAAAGAAATATATGCAACTTGTCAATGCAAAATAAATGCAGGTTGAAGGAACACTGTTGGTATTGACTCTAGCCACGACATAGTAAAAATGTTGGACATTGTTCATTTCATACCCAATTTAGGATACAATTTCTTTAGTGTTGGACAACCAATGTCCAATGGGAAATATCTTTAGTTTGATGACGATGCTTGTGTCATTATAAATAATAATTCAGGCAAAAAGATTTGCATCACTATGATGTCAAACAAAATGTTTCTGCTCGATGTTTTCAACATGGAAAGTTTATGCTTGATGCAAGTGCAAATGATGAGTCGACGTCGTGGCATTTGAGGTATGGTCACATCAATATAAAGATACCGAAATTTCTTGTTGACAAAGGTATGGTTCTTGGACTACCAAAAATTTATTCTATTGAATTGTGTGAAGGGTGCATTTATGGAAAACAAAGTTGGAAGTCTTTTCTTGTAGCAAAAGCATGGAGGTCTTCAAATTGTCTTGAATTTATATTTGTTTATTTATGTGGACCTATGCATACTACATCTTTTAGTGGGTGTTGTTATTTTCTCCTATTTACAGATGATTGTAGTCGCATGAGATGGGTCTATCTGTTAGAAACCAAATCAGAAACATTTCAAAATTCAAGTACTTCAAAATCTAGATTAAGAAGCAAATTGGTCTGTGCATAAAAATATTTCGCACAGAAAGAGGCCGTAATTATTGGTCTGTGCATAAAAGTATTTCGCACAGATAGAGGCCGTGAATTCTTGTCCAAGGAGTAATATTTTTTATGAGGAAATACATTCATGGGGATCTAACAACACCTTATACTCCGGAGCAAAACGGTGTTTCTGAGCAAAAAAAAATAGCAAAGTGGTGTAGATGGAAAGAATCATGTTACAAGCGAAGGGACTTCCAAAACAATTTAAGGTTGAAGCTTTAGCGACATCAGTCCATTTATTGAATTTGTCTCCAATAAAGTTTGTTATGTATCAAACTATGTTTGAATGTTGGAAAGGTAGAAAACCATTTGTAAGTTATTTAAGAATTTTCTGTTGTATTGCTTATGCTTTTGTAAATTACCAATTTCGTCATCAGTTGGATGAAAAATCTGAAAATTGTGTTTTTATTGGTTACTGAAAACAATCTAAAGAATATAGAATATATAACCCTCTTAGTAGAAAGATTTTAATTAGAAGGGATGTAATATTTGATGAAATGGCAAGTTGGAATTGGAGTGGAAGCAACAATAAGATGCAAGAACAAATTCCTATGCCTACTGGAATCACTTTTGATGGAATTCAGCAGCCAACTCCTACAGCTACAGCAGCTGAATATAGTACCACTTCTCCAAATTTATTTCTTCAACTTCAGGGAGTAGAAACTCTTAATCTACTACTCTTGAAAAGTCTTTAGAAGAGGCAATTCCATTAAAAATATCAACAATGCTTAAAAAGTTGAACGCCGAGTACGCTAATGACATGTATACAATATGTCAATTCTCTTTTGCAATGTCAGATCCTACACATTATGGAGAAGCGGCTAAAATGGAAGAGTAGCAGAGAGCGATATTAGATGAGATGAAATCTATCGAAAAGAATGGGACCTTGCAGAAGCATAAAGCTCGTGTTTTGGCAATAGGATATGCACACTGATATAGTATTGATTTTGAAGAAACAATTTATCCGGTTTCTCGATATGAAATTGCTAGACTTGTTCTAGTGTTGGTTAAAAAGTCACAATAACTAGTTTATCAATTTGATGTCCAGTCGGCATTTTTCACTGGAAACCTACAAGAAGAGGTCTAGATAGAACAACTAGAAGGTTTTTATAAAGAATGGTGATGAAATAAAGGTCTATAAACTGAAAAAAAGGCATTGTTGGTATGAAGGTAGCCACTCGCGCGTGATATAGCAAAATCGATTGGTATTTTCACATAAAGAGATATATGAGAAGTGATTATGAACCCATGTTGTATGTAATGAAGAAAGGTATTGCTTTCATCGTTGTTTGCCTTTATTTTGATGATATCATTTATTCTAGCTCTTCTATTTCTTTTGTGGATGAATTTAAGTCTCAAAATGATTTTGAGATGTAAGAATGGGGTTATTAAATTATTTTTTTTGCCTTGAAGTCAATCAAGCCAAAGATTCAATATTTCTTTCACAAATGAAATATGCCAAAATCTTCTTCCCTTATTTCCAGAAGTATTTAGTAATCAATATAATTTTTATTATTTGTTGCTTTATTTTGCTTTGTATCTTAAATTTAGATTGTCTTTTTTTTTCTTATGGAAATTTTGTTTTCCTAATAACTTTTATTTTTGAGCCGTGGGTCATTAGAAACAATCTTACTTCAAAAAATGAAAAGAAAGGTTCGTGTATATTTTATTACCCTCTCCAAACTCTATTGCGGAATTACACAGTACCTATTACTGTTGTTGTTGAACTTATTAATTGGAGGAACATGAATATCTATGATTTATGTATTGATGACGCGGAGTTGTTTTTGTCGTTTTCCTTGTAAAGATTTTCTAAAAGAACATTATCTAAAAAATGCTACTTTTTCTAGATAAACCTTGGGTTTTTAAAAAGTGTAGAAAATATATTTCTAATGTAACAAAAATGTTCTTTATATTTCAACATATTTCATAAAATAAGTGATTGAAAGATATGTTCTAAATATTTCATTGAATTTTTTTCTTAAAAGCTAAATTATTTACATGAAGCAACTACTTCTTTGATCCCTTTAACATATCATGAGGAGCTTGCACTAAAAATTTGATCAAAGTTATTTATTACGTTATTTTATATCAAACATAGATTGTAACTCATTTTCTTCATTAATAGATTAGTTGCATGTTTAGGCTAATTTTGTACAGTTCTCACTGAATGTAAATTCATTCTTAAAATAGATTAAGGAGATTCCACAATTCTTTTTTAAATTATAAATTAATAAGCTTTAGTTTCAAACATGATCAAGTAAATAGATACGTCCTCATATGATAAATATAATCACACGGTACACATTTTTGGGCTTTATTTTGGCTTGGCAACAGAAAGAAATTCATTAGGTTGAATAGCTCAAAACAGATTTTTCATTGAAATTACCTCAACATTTTTATTCTTAATAATGATTTATATGGTAAAGCATGAACTTTAAGATGAATTTTTGAAATTGTGATAATAAATTGGGAGAAAGGGAATGTCCAAAGAGAAGAAATATATAAAGTTGTTACAAGAAAATATTTAAAGGTACAAAGGAGTTAGACAAAGAAGATGGGGAAAATGGGCAGCAAAAAACCTAGACAAAAAAAACAAAACTAGACTTTGGTTTGGCACTTCTGACACTCCTGAAGAAGTTGCTTTGGTTTATGGTAAGGTAGCCATTGAATTAAGAGGCACTATAATTTTCTTAGAGTGAACAGTTTTATTTGAGTTTTCTTCTAAAAATTTCTAATCATATATGAAGTGTATGCATGTTTAGTCTGATGCACCTTTTTTTTTTCCTTTTCATGAAGAAATGTCCTTCAAGGAAGAGCTTCAGGTAAAAGATGGATCCCTAAAACCCTCAGCAATTGACGTAGTCGAAAAATCCAGCAATCAAGTGAGAAAAATTTCTCAAGTCTTTACGCATCTTGTACGTATTCATGTGCCGGACCATGACACAACAAATTTGCCTAGTGACGAGGAGGAT